GAGTTTGTCATCAAAATCAGGGTATCCATCTGTATGTTGACAGGATTTTGTCACTGAAATCAGGGTGTCCGTCTTTATGTTGACAGGAGTTTGTCATTGAAATCATGGTGTCCATCTGGATGTTGACAGGGGTTTGTCATTGAAATCAAGGTGTCCATCTGTATGTTGAGAGGAGTTTGTCATTGAAATCAGGGTGTGAATCTGTATGTTGACAAGAGTTTGTCATTGAAATCAGGATGTCCATCTGTATTTTGACAGGAGTTTGTCATCCATCTGTATGTTGACAGGATTTTGTCACTGAAATCAGGGTGTCCGTCTTTATATTGACAGGAGTTTGTCATTGAAATCAAGGTGTCCGTCTGTGTGTTGATAGGAGTTTGTCATCGAAATCAGGGTATCCATCTGTATGTTGACAGGATTTTGTCACTGAAATCAGGGTGTCCGTCTTTATATTGACAGGAGTTTGTCATTGAAATCAAGGTGTCCATCTGTATGTTGAGAGGAGTTTGTCATTGAAATCAGGGTGTGAATCTGTATGTTGACAAGAGTTTGTCATTGAAATCAGGATGTCCATCTGTATTTTGACAGGAGTTTGTCATTAAAATCAGGGTGTCCATCTGGATGTTGACACAAGTTTGTCATTGAAATCAGGGTGTCCATCTCTATGTTGACAAGAGTTTGTCATTGAAATCAGGGTGTCGGTCTGTATGTTGAGAGGAGTTTGTCATTGAAATCAGGGTGTGAATCTGTATGTTGACAAGAGTTTGTCATTAAAATCAGGGTGTCCATCTGGATGTTTATGTTGACAGGATTTTGTCACTGAAATCAGGGTGTCCGTCTTTATGTTGACAGGAGGTTGTCATTGAAATCAAGGTGTCCATCTGTATGTTGAGAGGAGTTTGTCATTGAAATCAGGGTGTTCGTCTGTGTGTTGACACGAGTTTGTCATTGAAATCAGGGTGTCCGTCTGTATGTTGAGAGGAGTTTGTCATTGAAATCAGGGTGTTCGTCTGTGTGTTGACACAAGTTTGTCATTGAAATCAGGGTGTCTGTCTGTATGTTGACAGGAGATTGTCATTGAAATCAGGGTGTCCATCTGTATGTTGACAGGAGTTTGTCATTGAAATCAGGGTGTCCATCTGGATGTTGACACAAGTTTGTCATTGAAATCAGGGTGTCCATCTGTATGTTGAAAGGAGTTTATCATTGAAATCAGGATGTTCATCTGTATGTTGACAGGAGTTTGTCAATGAAAACAGGGTGTCTGTCTGTATGTTGACACAAGTTTGTCATTGAAATCATGGTGTCCATCTGTATGTTGACAGGAGTTTGTCATTGAAATCAAGGTGTCCATCTGTATGTTGACAAGAGTTTGTCATTGAAATCAGGGTGTCTGTCTGTATGTTTACAGGAGTTTGTCATTGAAATCAGGGTGTCCGTCTGTATGTTTACAGGAGTTTGTCATCGAAATCAGGGTGTCCGTCTGTATGTTGAGAGGAGTTTGCCATTGAAATCAGGGTGTCTGTCTGTATGTTGACAGGAGTTTGTCAATGAAATCAGGGGGTCCATTTGTATGTTGACAGGAGTTTGTCAATGAAATCAGGTTGTTCGTCTGTATGTTGACAGGAGTTTGTCATTGAAATCAGAGTGTTCATCTGTATGTTGACAGGAGTTTGTCATTGAAATCAAGGTGTCCGTCTGTATGTTGATAGGAGTTTGTCATGAAAATCAGGGTGTCCGTCTGTATGTTGACAGGAGTTTGTCATCGAAATCAGGGTGTCCGTCTGTATGTTGAGAGGAGTTTGTCATTGAAATCAGGGTGTCTGTCTGTATGTTGACAGGAGTTTGTCATTAAAATCAGGGTGTCCATCTGGATGTTGACACAAGTTTGTCATTGAAATCATGGTGTCCATCTGTATGTTGACAGGAGTTTGTCATTGAAATCAGTGAAACATTCGTGATAGGAGTTTGTCATTAAAATCAAGGTGTCCGTCTGAATGTTGACAGGAGTTTGTCAATGAAATCAGGTTGTTCGTCAGTATGTTGACAGGAGTTTGGCATTGAAATCAGGGTGTCCGTCTGTATGTTTACAGGAGTTTGTCATCGAAATCAGGGGGTCGTCTGTATGTTGAGAGGAGTTTGTCATTGAAATCAGCGTGTTCGTCTGTGTGTTGACACAAGTTTGTCATTGAAATCAGGGTGTCTGTCTGTATGTTGACAGGAGTTTGTCAATGAAATCAGGGAGTCCGTCTGTATGTTGAGAGGAGTTTGTCATTGAAATCAGGGTGTTCGTCTGTATGCTGACAGGAGTTTGTCATTGAAATCAGTGAAACATTCGTATGTTGACAGGAGTTTGTCATTGAAATCAGGATGTCCATCTGTATATTGATAGGAGTTTGTCATTGAAATCAGGGTGTCCGTCTTTATGATGACAGGAGTTTGTCATTGAAATCAAGGTGTCCATCTGTATGTTGACAGGAGTTTGTCAATGAAAACAGGGTGTCTGTCTGTATGTTGACAGGAGTTTGTCAATGAAATCAGGTTGTTCGTCAGTATGTTGACAGGAGTTTGACATTGAAATCAGGGTGTCCGTCTGTATGTTGATAGGAGTTTGTCATTAAAATCAGGGTGTCCGTCTGAATGTTGACAGGAGTTTGTCAATGAAATCAGGTTGTTCGTCTGTATGTTGACAGGAGTTTGTCATTGAAATCACGGTGTCCATCTGGATGTTGACACAAGTTTGTCATTGAAATCATGGTGTCCATCTGTATGTTGACAAGAGTTTGTCATTGAAATCAGGGTGTCTGTCTGTATGTTGACAGGAGTTTGTCAATGAAAACAGGGTGTCTGTCTGTATGTTGACAGGAGTTTGTCATTGAATTCAGGGTGTCCATCTGTATGTTGACAGGAGTTTGTCAATGAAAACAGGGTGTCTGTCTGTATGTTGACAGGAGTTTGTCATTGAAATCAGGGTGTTCATTTGTTTGTTGACAGGAGTTTGTCAATGAAATCAGGGAGTCCGTCTGTATGTTGAGAGGAGTTTGTCATTGAAATCAGGGTGTTCGTCTGTATGCTGACAGGAGTTTGTCATTGAAATCAGTGAAACATTCGTGATAGGAGTTTGTCATTAAAATCAAGGTGTCCGTCTGAATGTTGACAGGAGTTTGTCAATGAACTCAGGTTGTTCGTCAGTATGTTGACAGGAGTTTGTCATTGAAATCAGGGTGTCCGTCTGTATGTTTACAGGAGTTTGTCATCGAAATCAGGGTGTCCGTCTGTATGTTGAGAGGAGTTTGTCATTGAAATCAGGGTGTCTGTCTGTATGTTGACAGGAGTTTGTCAATGAAATCAGGGTGTCCATTTGTATGTTGACAGGAGTTTGTCAATGAAATCAGGGTGTCCGTCTGTATGTTGACAGGAGTTTGTCATTGAAATCAGGGTGTCCATCNCCGTCTGTATGTTAACAGGAGTTAGCATCTTGGATAACTGCATTCATGTAATTTCTTTTTGGGACTTTTGATTTCTGATAATAACAATTTGTTCAAAGCAGTGGTACTTCATGAGATATAGGATTTGCTACTACTGCTTGTCATCCTCATCAGTGAACAACACATGCATCATCATGTCATTGTTTGTTTTACTAAAACTATTATTGACTTCTGTTGAGGGCACTTTAATTGTGTCATTATATCATTGCTTTTAGTGGGAGTTAATCACTTCGCAAAGCATTAGTTTTTTGTCATAGCCCCATTATAATAGAAGGTAGTTTTATAAACTGATAAAGCTTTGCATTAGGGTGTCAATATTTATGAAACTTTGATAATCTATGTGTACATAGAGTTGTACGTTATTTTCTTTCATTCATTTTTGTTTTGTTTTTTGTTTTGCAGCAACTCCAGAAAATAAACCGTGCTGACAGAAAGCAGGTGAGATAATTCTGATAATGAATCTGTTCTCTACAAATGTTTAAATTTTACCATTCCATTGGCAAAATGTCCAAACTTATATTGAAATATCCATTAATAAAGAAAAGGTCGTCCAGAGGATTCAAAAGTCATTGTGCTTTGTATGTAACTTATTTTTGAAGTATTTATGCAGTGGTCAATCATATCATAGAAAATGGTTATTAGTTGGTGTGTCGAAACAGTCACTGAAGTTGCATTAGTTGTAAAAAAATATAGAAAAGTATTGCAATAAGGGCATCAGACAGATTTCGGTAGCTTCAGTGTCTCCTAATCGGAGGCCACAAACGAGAACTTGTGACTCTACATAGGTCCAATATCATACATGTTGTCGCCATTGACGTCATCACACACCAGCAGATTAGGGTAGGCCATCTTAAAAACCTGAACCTGCAGGTGGGAAATGTTGATGATCAAGTTAGCTCTGATGAAACATCTCAACTATTCTTCTTCTTTTCAGAATGTGACAGAAGAGAAATTCTGCATTGTGTTTAAGTCAACATTCCAGATTGGAAACCAAGAACAATTTGTCTGGGTAAGAATGTTTTATTCATTTTTTTCCTGTCTCCTAATGAATACCTATTACAAGTTAACCTCACATATATTTCTGACATTCCAGAAAGCACAATTTTTGTGTAGACCTATGATGTACATTCACAAGTGTGTGAGTGGATGTGTACGTCATCATGCCATAAACAAGTGTCATCTGTGACGGCAAATAGAAATATATAAGGTCTAGTGTTTATAACACTCATATATTACACACTGTACCTACATTTGTATTTTATACGAATTTTATAATTTTCTACAAAAATACTTTTTGTGGCGCTTAATTTATAGGCCGCAACTTTACTCATAAAAAATGATATCTGAAAATATTTTAATCCTAAAATATGTTAAATAAACTTTCGGTCATCCAAGAGATGAGCCATGTTCCGCCAATACCTTGTTGTGTCATTTTCTCTGAGTAAACAGGGCTTGCTGTCCTGTAAGGAGGTGTGAGGGTTTATAACTATAAAAGTGCAGTGTAAAAATAAAAGTTTAGCAATAGACATCTTTTTTCACAAACGCATATATTCATGTGCAATATATTATTTGAATTTCCCGGTGTTTATTTTTGGTATACAATTTCATTGGTCAAGTCTAAACCACGTGATAGCTGACCCCTGTTTCAGCAGGTGACCCCCACAGGGGGACAGAAAAATTTGCAACCGCACGCCATCTTTGATTTTCTGAACGATAAACAAAAGATACAAGTAATTTGACCTTTTATACGGCAAAAGTTTTCTAACCCTCCCACCACACCCCCTTTTCAGATTATATATGTTAAGATGTTTCTATGTTGTTTCAATTTTATGATGTCTTGTGGTGCTTAATTTATAGGCCGCAACTTTACTCATAAAAAATGATATCTGAAAATATTTTAATCCTAAAATATGTTAAATAAACTTTCGGCCATCCAAGAGATGAGCCATGTTCCGCCTGTTATCCTGCACTAATAAACTTTTGCTTTCTTGAAAACTTGACTGAACAAACTGGTGGACAAAATGACGTCAAGGACTGAATAATAACGCCATGTTACTGTAGCTTGAAATGGGCTAAAGTATTTAGAGTCCATTCTTATTCAGTGTGACTGTGTCCCTATTAGATTAGTCTATAACATCTGATGAGTCCAGCCAAATAAAGGAGTAGAGTCTACTTGGGTGATTCAATATCTTACATTATCTGGAATATTGTATTGCGTGGACTAAAAGCTGGCTTATTTGTATCACTATAGCAAGATTCACAAGGCATACAAAATAAAAAGGTTTACACATGCTAAATAATAATGCCATGGAAATATGGAACAATTAATATTTTGATACAATATCTTAACATTATCTTAATATTTTACAGACAAAATCTAATCCTATAGTTGTGATTGTCCATGGCAGTCAGGAATGCCGAGCAATGGCGACAATCATGTGGGATAACCAGTTTGCTATACCGGTGAGTAAGGATACCCAGTGTAGTGTACATTACTGGTGAATCAGTCCCGAAAAAGGAGGACATTTTTTTTAAAAGATAAGGTCTGTCAGGTAAGGATTTCTGATAAAGTTTCGCCTATAGTTGAAATATATCAGTCTTAAAATTAGTATGTATACGTAAACAGGGTACATACTATTAGTTACACAGTTTGTTAGTGACCTTCGCCTCGCCCGATACAAGTTTCTTTTAGACCCAATATTTTTCAGTATTAAGTCACTAACAAACTGTGTAACAAATTTATCCCGTCGAAGGCCCTTTGGATAAAAAAACTGCAAAATAATACAAAATTCAACATTTATTCCAACAATAACAATTTTAACATTTAAAATTTAATACATAATTTGTTAACAACAACAAAAATTTAACAAAAATAATTCGGTATTTCACAAATATTCTCGCCGACTTTTGATTAGCCTTGATAGTGTTGTCAGCATTTAGTTTCACCCGCTTTGTTAACATTTCATCGGCTGTCGTCTGCACAAACCACTTGGTAGCCATCTTGTTACAAGTTGACTCTTATTGGCAAAGAACGATAACTCTTACGTACTCACCTAATGTGAGTTTCTACTGACCTAATATGAAAATATACTGGATATCATGTGACGTCGTTTTAACCAATAGGACTACAGGATTTTTGCCTGAGGCGGGATAAATGTATATATCATGTGAGAAGTCTTTATGATATAAATGGTTTTTTTAATGACTTAGAGGTCTATTGACTCTCTTGTCTGTATCCTTATAGGAAAGGCAGATGTTTGAGGTGCCAGACTTTGTCCCTTGGCCACAAATGTGTGAGCTACTTAGCTGTAAGTTTAAGCAAATGACACAGCGTGGACTGGGGAAGAATGACCTTGATTACCTGGCCCACAAGATCTTTCAAGGTAACCGTAACGTAACAACAGTCGTTTTTTTTCAGTTCACATCAATAATTTGATATTAGCTATGTTGCACAGCTAACTCTCACATAAGAGAAGTAGAGAAGGGGAATAACTCCTATAAAATATGTGAACCAAAAGTTAATTTGCAATGACCCAACTAGTTCAGGTACCATTCATTTGATCAACTTTCATATATTAAGTTTTAAGGAAAAGTTTTGATCAGATCAACAGGAGCACAAATCCTTAAAATGACCACAGTAATGGTTTTCTGATTTCTGATCAACGCTTTATTTGTGATGTTTTGTTATTTGTATCAATATGGGGAGTAAATAATCAACTACATTTATCACAGAAAAGAGAGGTGGGGTGCTTGATCTATCAAATACAACATGTATCACTCTTGTAACAGGAGGCCGGGACATAGTGGATTACTCTCCGTACAGTATCACGTGGGCACAATTCGTCAAGGTAAATCAACCTCCAGATATCCATAGCCTGGTTATCCTCATAGCAAATTTATTGTCACAGTTTCATGTATATTATCTGTAACAATAATTTGTAAATCAATCTCTAAAACAAATTATTATCCACCCTGTTAATAAATTGCTTTTGTCAGAAGTACTCAAGAAAAATATTTCTAATCTTGAAAATATCATTAAAATATGATGCAAAAAATCTGTCTGTGATATTACTGTATTTGTAAAAATAATATTTTAATCAATCTCTAAAACAAATTGTTTTCCACCCTGAAAATCATTTTTCATCTTGAAAATGTCCTTATATTATGATGCAAAAAATCAATACCCCGGGTACTCCATTTCTAATAAATGATTTCATTAAAACGAAAAAGTTAACTTTTCAATAAATAAGCAAGCAAAAAAGTCAAGATGGGACTTAGCATTATTTTCTCTCACTTATTGGACTAGTTTTTGGCTTAACCAATCAAATAGTTCTGGTTTGAATTAGGTTATGTCCTTTAATTTATCTTAATATATATATAAAACACACCTCTTTGCATGTAGACGTATATTTAACAAGTAGTAAAAAAGATCCTTACCGATGAAGAAATTATTTTAAAAAAAATCTCTTGACAAATTCCTTGATCTTCTTGATAACTTTCTTAAGAATATATCTAATTAATCTCTTCCAGGAAAATCAACAACTTGCTTCTGGGACTGTCAGCTTCACGTTTTGGGATTGGTTCCACAGTATCATGAAACTGACAAGAAAACACTTGCGGGAATTGTGGCAAGACAGGTGGGTTGTATTAAATATTGTTGAAATTGTCACAGAATTTTCTCTTTCAGTTATGTGTGCCCAGAGAAGCTATGGTATGTTAATATGGACTTTCAGCTTTGTGTGCCCAGGGAAGCTATATGGTATGTTAAAATGGACTTTCAGCTTTGTGTGCCCAGAGAAGCTATGGTATGTTAATATGGACTTTCAGCTATGTGTGCCCAGAGAAGCTATGGTATGTTAAAATGAACTTTCAGCTTTGTGTGCCCAGAGAAGCTATGGTATGTTAATATGGACTTTCAGCTATGTGTGCCCAGAGAAGCTATGGTATGTTAATATGGACTTTCAGCTTTGTGTGCCCAGAGAAACTATGATATGTTAATATGGACTTTCAGCTATGTGTGCCCAGAGAAGCTATGGTATGTTAATATGGACTTTCAGCTTTGTGTGCCCAGAGAAGCTATGGTATGTTAATATGGACTTTCAGCTATGTGTGCCCAGGTAAGCTATGGTATGTTAATATGGACCTTTAGCTCTGTGTGCACAGAGAAGCTATATATATGGTATGTTAATATGGACCTTCAGCTATGTGTGCCCAGGTAAGCTATGGTATGTTAATATGGACCTTCAGCTCTGTGTGCACAGAGAAGCTATGGTATTTTAATATGGACCTTCAGCTATGTGTGCACAGAGAAGCTATGGTATGTTAATATGGACTTTCAGCTATGTGTGCCCAGAGAATCTATAGTATGTTAATATGGACCTTTAGCTCTGTGTGCACAGAGAAGCTATATATATGGTATGTTAATATGGACCTTTAGCTCTGTGTGCACAGAGAAGCTATATATATGGTATGTTAATATGGACCTTCAGCTCTGTGTGCCCAGAGAAGCTATGGTATGTTGATATGGACCCTCAGCTCTGTGTGCCCAGAGAAGCTATGGTATGTTAATATGGCCCTTCAGCTATGTGTGCCCAGAGAACCTATGGTATGCTAATATGGACCTTCAGCTATGTGTGCACAGAGAAGCTTTGTTATGTTAATATGGACCTTCAGCTCTGTGTGCACAGAGAACCTACGGTATGTTAATATGGACCCTCAGCTCTGTGTGCACAGAGAAGCTATGGTATGTTAATATGGACCCTCAGCTCTGTGTGCCCAGAGAAGCTATGGTATGTTAATATGGACTTTCAGTTATGTGTGCACAGAGAAGCTTTGGTATGTTAATATGGACTTTCAGCTATGTGTGCACAGAGAAGCTATGGTATGTTAATATGGACTTTTTAAATTGATGAATTTTCCAGAGTAAAAGTTGCATTTAAATTTCTATAGCTTTTTGTAAGTATGCCAACCACAACTTTAAAAGTTTGTTTCAGCTCAAAAACCTGCCTTTTGTTAGGGTACTAAGAAAATGCTATTACCAAGTAAAAAAAGTTCTAAATATCAAATAAATATTGAGATTATATGATTTTATATATTAAAATTAAAAAAACAATAACGTTAAAGTTAACGATGATTGTACAACATATGATTTTCAGATATCCTTCCTGAGACAAAGTCTCATGTGAGCAATTGTGGTCACCTTTTGTCCAGCATCATCTTTTGTCTGTCATGCAATCTATAAACAATTTACTATTTAGACTTCTCAAAACCACCTAACCAATTTCAATAATTTTTTACAGAAAGCTATCATTATCAGAGGCATATAAAGCTATGAATTAATTGGATCTCGACCCCTAGGGGTCTGAGGGACAGGGCCAAAATGGGTCAGTGCAAATAAAATTTCAACAATATTTATAACTAATTATAAATAGATGGATGGTGCTTTATCAAAATTGTGAATTCCATTAACTCTTGGTCACCCATTTGCTCCAGGACGGGGTAAAGTTTACTTCTGTTCATACTACCGAATAATACTTACATGTGTATGGTAAGATTTATGTTTTTTCAGTAGGAAATAGTTAAAACTTGGTAAGTTGTTATCATCATATGTTTACAGTTTGATGAATTTAGACCCAAGTTTTATGGACCAAGATTTCAACAACCTCTTTCAGACCCAGATATACTTGTTTGAATTTAACACTGTCTAAGGATTGATAGGTCCTAAGATGCTTTATCAAATTTCTGAAATTCATTACCCCTAAGTCGCTCATTTGTCCCTGGGGGTAAAATTAAATATAGCTTATACTGTATTGAGAAAATAACACTTTTGGGTAATATTTTGGATTTATTTTGCAGTGGAAAATAAATCAAACTGTGTTTGTATGATTATCATATGATGCAGTTTGACAATAAGGAAATTATGGACCTGACAACAAGAGATGAAATAGGTAGAACAAAAATCACTTTTTCCAAGGATTATAAGGAATAGGGCATGTTGTAATTCTATAAGAATAATAAACATTTTATGACTGTTATGAAAGAAGAACACTTTAAGAAGAATACTTATTTAGGCTTTGTCTGTTTTGTCTGTTTTTTTCTGACAGTTAACCACTGTACAAACTATTTTCTTTTCACAGATGCATTGTGGGATTCATAAGCCGGTCTAAGGCAGAGCAGCAACTCCTCAGTGTGGACAATGGCAACTTCCTGTTACGCTTCAGTGAATCAGAGTTGGGCGGTATCACTGTTGGCTGGGTAGATGATGTTGCACAACAGCAAGGTAAGTTTTCATTGGTAAGATGTGTCCAGTACAAGTTTTCATTGGTCAGATATGTCCAGCTCAAATGTTCATGGGTCAAATGTTTCTAGTAAAAGTTTTCATTGGTCAGATGTGTCAGTACAAGTTTGTATTGGTTAGATGTGACCAGTACAAGTTTTTATTTGTTAGATAATGTATGTCTAGTACAAGTTTTTATTGGTTATATGTGTTAAGAACAAGTTTTCATTGGTTAGATATGTCAGTACAAGTTTTCATTTGTCAGATGTGTCCAGTACAAGTTTTCATTTGTCAGATGTGTCCCGTACAAGTTTTCATTGTTTAGATGTGTCCAGTACAAGTTTTTTATTAGTCAGATATGTCCAGTACAAGTTTTTATTAGTCAGATGTGTCCAGTACAAGTTATCATTAGTCAGATATGTCGAGTACAAGTTTTCATTAGTCAGAATTGTCCAGTACAAGTTTTCATTAGTCAGATATGTCGAGTACAAGGTTTCATTGTTTAGATATGTCCAGTACAAGGTTTCATTAGTCAGATATGTCCAGTACAAGTTTTCATTGTTTAGATATGTCCAGTACAAGTTTTCATTAGTCAGATATGTCGAGTACAAGTTTTCATTGTTTAGATATGTCAGTACAAGTTTTCATTAGTCAGATATGTCCAGTACAAGTTTTCATTGTTTAGATATGTCCAGTTCAAGTTTTCATTAGACAGATATGTCGAGTACAAGTTTTCATTGGTCAGAATTGTCCAGTACAAGTTTTCATTAGTCAGATATGTCCAGTACAAGTTTTCATTGTTTAGATATGTCCAGTGCAAGTTTTCATTAGTCAGATATGTCGAGTACAAGTTTTCATTGGTCAGAATTGTCCAGTACAAGTTTTCATTAGGCAGATATGTCGAGTACAAGTTTTCATTGTTTAGATATGTTCAGTACAAGTTTTCATTAGTCAGATATGTCCAGTACAAGTTTTCATTGTTTAGATATGATCAGTACAAGTTTTCATTGGTCGGATATGTCCAGTTCAAGTTTTTATTAGTCAGATGTGTCCCTGATATAAACCATACAATTCAACATATAGTTATTTGAGTAATTTGTTATGTAAACTGATTTATTATTTATAAAAAGACCAGCTAGGTGAGCTGGTTAGATCTTTTGTTTCATTCGAATTTAATTTATCTAAATTATTTTTATTTAATATCAGGAGATGAAAATGAAGTGAAGAGGGAGGCTAACTTTGCACAGCCATATGAGGCAGATGACTTCTGCGTCAAGAGTCTCGCTGAAAGGATCAAAGATGTCGACAAACTGGTGTACCTTTATCCTAACAGACCGAAGGAACAGGTCTTTAAAAAATACTGGCTTCCATTTCCAGGTAAGCTTCTACCAGATACTGCTAATTAGGTAATCAGATGGATTCATCTGAGGTAAATTGTTGTTAAGAGTTGTTTGTACCTGTGATTTATAAGTGGTGACATATAAGGTGACTTTAAGGATCCCTGTCCCATTGCACAATGGTTGTTCTAATATACAGTTATTACCCCCCCCCCCCCCATTAGTATCCATTTATATAATAACTTTAGCACAGTATGGCTGAAGGATACTTCCATTGACTAGGTAGCTCAATCGGTTAGATCTATAATATAACAATCTGAAGTCAAAGTTTTGAATCCGGTCTAGCCCCACTAAGAACACTTTATGATTAATTTAGCTCATCTGGCCCAAAGGGCCACCTAGGGTCATGATAGTTGGCCAGTAGGTACCTGGGATAGAGTTCTATAAAGTTTCTTCATTAAAATGACCTGGACCTAATTTCAAGGTCACTTGGGTTAAATATGTTAAAAACTTCAAACAACAATATCCTAAGATCAATTTGGACTAGAGTCATGATACTTGGGTATGTTATGTAGACCAGTTGTGTGAAATGTTTTCTTTATTACAGTAATGAGTTCAAGGGTCAACTTTAAGTGCAAGTCGGGAGTCAAAGGTCAATGTGGGTTAAAAGCTTAAAAATTCAAATTTCAAATTTCAAATAACAATATCTTCAGAACCGTTTAAGAGATGTTAAAATGTCTTGTGTTCTAGTTACCAAATTTGGTCTGAAGTCACCTATATGTCAGTTTCATGTAATAAAAGGAACAGGTGAGCGATACAGGCCCTCTGGGCCTCTTGTAATAAAAGACCTGTAAGGTATAGTTTTCTTTTCATAAATGATTTATCAAAGCTATAGCCATGCAAGAAAAATCAGTTTTCAATTATTTACATTTTTTGGTAGTGGTACAGGTATCTACAATTGTAACTATAGAATTTCCTTAGATAGTTATCCTGGGTAGTGGAACAGGTATCTAACTACAGAGGTTCCTTAGATAGTTATCCTGGGTAGTGGAACAGGTATCTAACTACAGAGGTTCCTTAGATAGTTATCCTGGGTAGTGGAACAGGTATCTAACTACAGAGGTTCCTTAGATAGTTATCCTGGGTAGTGGTACAGGTTTCTAACTATAGAGCTTCCTTAGATAGTTATCCTGGGTAGTGGAACAGGTATCTAACTACAGAGGTTCCTTAGATAGTTATCCTGGGTAGTGGTACATGTATCTAACTATAGAGCTTCCTTAGATATTTATCCTGGGTAGTGGTACGGGTATCTAACTATAGAGTTTCCTTAGATAGTTATCCTGGGTAGTGGAACAGGTATCTAACTACAGAGTTTCCTTAGATAGTTATCCTGGGGAGTGGTACAGGTATCTAACTAAAGAGTTCCCCTAGATAGTTATCCTGGGTAGTGGTACAGGTATCTAACTATAGAGTTTCCTTAGAAAGTTATCCTGGGTAGTGGTACAGGTATCTGACTATAGAGCTTCCCAAGATAGTTATCCTGGGTAGTGGTACAGGTATCTAAATATAGAGTTTCCTTAGATAGTAATCCTAACTAATCATAATTGATCGCTTTGTCAGTTTTGTTGCCTTTTGTTTTTAATGGTCGTATTTCCCTATAGTCTTTCTGTGCCAAATTTAGTTACTTTAATACCTGTCAATTTTTTATTTTTTAATTGTTTTTGTTATTCTGATTTCAGGAAGAAATTCAAAGAAGCCACACAATCCTCGCTATAAACACATGGGAACTCTGATACAAGATATCATGTAAGTTTTAACTAAATACAAGATATCATATAAGTTTTAACTAAATACAAGATATCATGTAAGTTTTAACTAAATACAAGATATCATGTAAGTTTTAACTCATTTGCCTGTGTTGATCCTTTAGTTTAATTAAATGCCATTTCTCTTAAATTGTGTTTAGACAGTTAAACGATTATTTGATTTAAGATAGGGAAACTCTGATGTTAGAATGTCCTATTCGGCACAAATGGACATAAAAGAGAGTTTTTCTATCACTCCAGTTTCGAGGATTATCTCTGAAATCATGAAAATGCTCTAAATCTTCAACAACGTTCTTCTTCATACCAAAATATTTTAGAATTAAACTACATTCATGGATGGAAAGGTCAAATAGGCGTGGTTAATATACCCTGGCTAACCATTCCCCTTAGGGAAAAGGGGTAACATTTTTACCGTTTACATTGGAAAATAACACATTTCCATTGGGAATAAGTCAAAAGTAAAAATTAACATCATGGATTGGCAGTTTTAAGTCATGAAAAAATAGGACTTTAACAAAATGAGGTACAGAGGTTAAAACTTTAATGGTCTGCACAGATATTAACAACTTCTCCTCAATAATCATATTGAGGCTTAGGATATGTGGATATATTGCATATAACCAGTATACTTGTGGATGGATGAGACTTATATTATGTAGGCTTTGACTGTACTCTGAAGGTTAACTGCTATATATATAATAAATATTTGTAACTTAGAAACATCATTTTTTTGTCGAATACACAGTTGGGATATTTGCATTACACGTACTATCTTGCTTCAGGAGTATTTTCACATTATGTCACAATCCGAACAACAACAAGATCAATCTATATTACAGCTGAGGTGGCCTCCTGTTATCTACTCTATGTCTAGCTCTCACTCATCCACCCCTGAAGTCACATTTGAACTCTTCCAATTCAAAAATTGGAGTTGTTCATTGTGAAATTATTTCAAGGGTGAATGAGTTAATATATAACCGTTAAACAGGATGAAGTGACTGAGATTAGGAGGATAAAAAAATCTATTTGATTGTCAGTGCCGTACCTACACAGACTAGCAGTGTTTCTCGCAAACGAGAGAAGACATCAGAAAATGAGGAAGAAATGACAATGGAACCTGCGTCAGAAATAGGATCAAAGACGTGAGTGTAAAAGGTTTGCAAGCTGTGTTAATAGCACTGAGTAATATCTGGTCCCGCACTAGCATTCATTGTCAGCCTAATTTCACTGTTGTATATCTGGTCCCGCGCTAGCATTCATTGTCAGCCTAATTTCACTGTTGTATCAGCTTTAAGTCAGCTTTGTGTCAGATTATATTTTTAATATTGAAATCATTTAGATAATTTTCAAATTTGTCATTCAAATTTGGTTCATCTGCAGTTTGTCATTTATAAGAAAAACCTGTTTCTGACAGTAATTCTGACAACACACTGGAAAGACTGGCAACACATGCTGGCCTCACACTCACTGAGCTGTAGTAGTATCTGATATATTGTCAGTTGTTTTTTTCCTTTTTTTTTTTATCTGGCAATACTTTATTGGCAAGAAAAGATCAATTACCAAAAAATAGCAAACAGAAGAAAAACATTGACTATCAAAACTCCTGAAGGTGGTCATGGTAACACACTAACATTACACTGTCAATACATTAACAACACATTGTAAATATACTGACATTACACTGTCAGTACATTAACATCAAATTGTAAATACACTAACATCATATTGTAAATACACTGACATTACACTATCAATACACTGAAAGCACAATGTAAGTACACTAACATCATATTGTAAGTACACTGACATTACACTGTCAATACAATAACATCACATTGTAAGTACATTAACATCAAATTGTAAATACACTAACATCATATTGTAAATACACTGACATTACACAGTCAAACTACATTAACATCATTTTGTAAGTACATTAACATCACATTGTAAGTACACTGACATCACATTGTAAATACACTAACATCATATTGTAAATACACTGACATTACACAGTCAAACTACATTAACATCACATTGTAAGTACACTAACATCATATTGTAAGTACACTAACATCACATTGTAAATACACTAATATCACATTGTAAGTACACTAACATCATATTGTAAGTACACTAACATCACATTGTAAATACACTAACATCACATTGTAAGTACACTAACATCATATTGTCAATACAATAACACCATATTGTAAGTACACTGACATTTTATGCATAACTTCACACAATGAAAGAGTTAACCTGTTTATTACTTGAGTTAAGACACAGATATGTATGTGCAAGCAAAGAACAAGTACTAAAACCTACTGCAAACATTTGGCGTATCAGGGGCTACTCACTCTATAACAAACCTGCTAATAGTAACAAATTCTTTTCAAAAGATTTTAAAGGAAGCTAGACTCGGCGAAGTCACAGAAAAACTTGATAAAGAGCGCGAGCTAGACTCCAAAGAAAACAAGAGAAGCAGCTAGACTTTGAACGACTCCAGAGAAGCGACTAGACTCCTAATATCCATGGAGAAGCTATAAAAGACTATGAATTGGAAACGCTAGACTCCGAAGAAGGCAAGAGAAGTCACTAGACTCTGGAGGAATCCAGAGAAGCGACTAGACTCATAGCCACCCCAGAGAATATATCTGTTAGATTTACCATGAGAAAACTGGCTACAGATAAAGTGAAGTAATAATCTATTTAAGAGATTGGGGGTAAAATTCCCAAAGAATTTAAAGTCAAGCCTAAATTTACACATAGTTGTTCATAAAGTCTCGATCAATAGAGTGAGTAACCCACCTAACGTAAACATTACATATATATAACATACAACATGAAGCGTCAAAAAGAAGCCTCACAGAAGCCTCACAGAGGGGCAGCATGTAATAAATCGACAAAAATATACAAATATGAAGTTACTGTATACATATACATGAACCTGAAAAAAGAACCAACAATTACACAAAATCTCATGATCATGAGGCAAATTAATTAGAGGCGATGCAGGGGTTGGTGGGTGGGTAAGCCAAAACAAACAAGTGTAATCTGCCAGCACTACGAGGAATGAAACTGAAGCTGGCAATACCAACACCCCTCTAAGACGTAATCGCTGATTGGTCAAAAGTTACTATGGACTGATTAACATATACTACGATACCTTATATGGTAAGACATCTAATTTGCAAAGATAAACACTATCGCTCTTCGAAGACGAACACATTCCATAACCAGGTAAAAGAAGGAATTACAAAAATGAACATAAGGGAAAAAGCCTTATATCCTATAACACTTAATATTGCAAACATATATATATAACAACAAAAATATCACATCTACAACTACAGCAGCCAAGGCAATAGAAGGCTTACACAGTTATATATAAACTATAATTTATCATTACATATCAAATTATTCTTATATTGTAAGTACAGTAACATCACATTGTAAATACAATAACATCATATTGTAAGTACACTGACATTTTACTGTCAATACAATAACATCATTTTGTAAGTACATTAACATCATATTGTAAATACACTGACATCACAGTGTAAGTACATTAACATCACATTGTAAGTACACTAACACCACATTGTAAATACACTGACATCATATTGTAAATACACTGACATCATATTGTAAATACCCTGACATCACATCTGTCAATACACTGGCATATAGTTCACATACAAATATTGTTCATCCAACAAAACTTCAGCATTAATGGTGCTATTCAATAATACATTATGACCACTGTTGTTTCTTTATCAAAATACTTTATAACCTATTCATAAGGCCAATATGGTATCCTTATTTATATATTTCTTGTGAATCTCTTTAACTAACATTTATTTCACCTGTATATGTGAACCATATTTAATCATCTCAGTGATATGTTTCTTTTCCAAATAACATTTAGTTCACCAATATATTGCATTTCATGCTCAGCTCTGTGGATCTGTTATTATTTGGTAGAGATCCTGGTAAGTGTTCAACGTTCATGGTTATCTCAGTGTACTGAAAGCTCATGATCAGTGGTCTAAATATGTTTGGTAAATATTTGAGTCAGTATTATCAGTGTTCATAGTCAAATAAATGGAATTCTGCCAGTACCTTCAACTATTGCTTGATTGCAAAATCCACCGATGTCATCAGCCATGACCACCTCTAACGGGACGTTTTGATTTCTTTCCTGGAACGCCCGAAAGGTGAGAAGCCGACAACAGTTCGACAGAATCACTGCCCATCTGTGGATTCTCCATCAAATCCAGCTGAGCGCGTTATCTAGCTGATGTTCTCTCTGCATGGTTTGAGTGAGAAACCCCTGCACACAACCACGACAGGGGAGACCCAACCATCCTTTAATGCGTTATAAGCCTCCTGACATCGTCCTCCCAGGGAATGGTACCATTCTTTTCCCCTGATAAGACCAAAGCAGTGTCCAGATATAGACCTGCAGCCTCCTGTTTGTCTGTAGCTCCCCAGCTGCATCTGATGTTTTCTAATTTCTGTCGATATAGGTAATACCATTGTCATCATATCTCAGTCTGTTATCAACATGATTGACAGCAGTACTTACTGGCCTCTTCTGTCTTGTTGAATTCAAGAATTCCTGATATTCAGGTCTTTAGAGTCCCTAATAGTCATCAACAATCTAGCCCTTGTCACCTTGAATTCTTCCTCGAGCGATGATATTGGGGACTGTAACGTCACGCTGCCACAATATGTACGCTTCCAAAAGGTACACGGTCAGGAAGTTTGAATAGTACTTTTAAACTAATTTCCTCAGATGGTATAACAAAAGAGATGTTTATAAACATTTCCACGAAATATTTTTGTTTTCAGCAACATTTTAAGAATTCACGATGACTTCAAAGTAAACATGTCAGATAACCAGAAAAACGATGTACGCTGACGATATTTTGGAGGAGTTTGAAGGGGTTTATTATTGGCGTGTTGTTTAAATGTTGATTTCTAGTCCTTATAACTGAATCATATAAAAATGTCCTATACAATTGTAGTGTAGCATGGTATTTATAAAGCAATATATTTTATTGCAAACGGAACATCAACTAGAAGATATAAAACAAGTTTCATGGCCTATGAAGTTGCATACCGATCTGGATACTTAGCGTTCTATTTTCAAAAACAAATTTCTTAGAATAAAAACTTTTCCTGAAAACAAAGCTCTATGTGTGTAGTCTTTGTCAAGAATCAAGACACGTCAGATATAATATCTGGATTTATAAATATCATTGAAAAACTGTTAAAATTGTACCAGTTGTGGTAGTGTTACAATGTGCATTAGTTTGGCAGTCATGCTACAGGTCAGTACTGGTGAAACTTGGGGGTATTTTGAGCCATCTTTAAAGTGTCTGATGATCTTTCTCACTTCATACAGTGAGAAAGGCTAAGTCTGGTGAGGTAGAAACCCAGCTGGTAAATTCATGAATTTCACAAGCAATTCTTTTCTTTCAATCTTCCGCAGGCATTCCTCCACCTGCGTCTGCAATCGTTTGATATTCCTGCTGTCATTTAGACTAGCGTCTAACTTTTTCTTTTCATCATGATGCAGACTTTCTGATTTCCTTGGTTTACATTTCATCCTTGCCCACCCAATGATTTCATCAGGGGCCAATGAATTTCATTGTGCCTGCACATGCATCGGTGTTATTATTTTCAGGTCGCCCATGAAACCCCTGTCTGGTGGTAGTCGTACTCCTGTTGATGCTTTAAGTCATTTTTTTTCCTGTCTGGCACCTTGATGATCAAGCCCTTCCCCAATCACAAAGAGTATAACAAAGATGGTGCATACTGTCACAATACCCTTTTCTTGTGCCTGCCATGATATTGTTATCCCTCCTACTGTGAACCAGAGCCTGAAATAGCCCATATAACACTTCATTGGGTGTGTTCTGGGATGTGATAGTGTTCCATCACCTTGAAAATCAGTTGTTCTTGGGCAGAACTGTATACGTTATTTTATTCCAACCAAATAACTGCTTTGTCTCCTTGGATGATGTTGGCTTCCTGAATCAGCTGTGTGATTGCTCCTGTGTTCTCAAGACATCCAGGGAACCTTGGGATATTTTCTTAATGCACAGGAGAATTGATGTAGTCATTTGAGGTCATGAACGTCGTCATCCGTCATGCAACTGACGATAATTTATTTTTCTACTTTGGTTGTAAGGTTCTGAACGGATTCAGAGAAAACAAACTTGCAATAATTAGTTACATGTAAAGTTGTTGTAAAATTTCACATGAATCTTATTTCCATGCTAAAACCAGTTTGTTATCCTTGTATCAAATGGGTTTTGTTTACCGCTTTCAAACCATTGTGTTGTCAGAAATTGTTTGGTTATTAATGGTCACTATTGGTAATTTTTCGGTCAATATTGAATTGTTTTAGGCTTATTGAAAGGCCCAAAATAGTTCAGATACCCTGAATGTTTGACTGTACTGAAAAAGAGAGCATTACTAATTGATGACATCATTTTGATAGTGTTTAACATATGTTTTTAACTGTCTTTACTTGGTTTATATAATAGCACATATTGTTTTTTTGTGTTTTTGTTTGGAAAAGCTGTATTTTTTTTTATTTCAAATTGAGAGAATTGTTATATTGGGGGTTTAATTATTCCTCCGCCTGCAGAAGCACCCATTGATATATAGCTGTAAAATAAACCTTAACTACAAAAATAGTAAATAGATTTCTACAGAAATAGTAAATACATATATACTGTAAACTGCACCTTAATCTACAGAAATAGTAAATACATATATACTGTAAGCTGCACCTTTATCTTCATAAATAGTAAATACATATATACTGTAAACTGCACCTTTCTCTACAGAAATAGTAAATACATATATACTGTAAACTGCACCTTTATCTATAGATATAGCAAATACATATAAACTACTGCAGATAAACGCCAAGCTTGCCTTTAGTTTGTGCAAAAATGACGGCTTCCCAGCAAGCTTGCAGCATGTTTGCAGAAATCTTGAGCTTCTTCTTCCTATGCGGCTTCTCTTTGCGACGATACTATCATCTATGTATTCACATCCTTTGCATGTTTTGGCTTACGTTCTCTCGTTATAACCATTATGATATCTACCACGATGTTACTTGGTAAGGACGGCAGCCCCAATGATAAAATCACCTGTCGGCACATACTTTGCCTTGGACAGTGGGTAGTATTGGTGCTACATTGTGCTTTTATTTCACCAATACTGTGGTTGAAATGCATTCATAAATTAGTAGAGCAGAAGCGATAGTTTGAAATTAACACGTTGGGAAATATGTTTTTCACAGTTAATGAAGGTTTTGCTTTCAATGGCAGATTTTGAAAAATATTACCCCTTTTTGTCACCAAGGGAGAAAAATAATAACGAAATGGCAAATAAAATGATGTTTAGAACTTGTTACTGTACTACCCCAAATCAAGCTGACTTAAAGGTATGTTCACATGTGTCAGCTCAAACAAAACCAAACATAAAAAAGCATAAGAACAAAAAAGAGCCAGGTACCCATCAATTTTAGAGTTATTTGACACTAAACAATACAATATATTTTTGAGAAGTCTTTTTTTCGGAAATAGGTTTTTTGGCAAATATACTATCTTCACGTGGAAGGTGTAAAACAGTCCTATGATACCATTTACACACCTGTTCATTGTCATAAAGATTTAGTCAACCGTAACGATTTATCTTATGCAGAAATGCATGTAAACAGTGAATCAGTTTGAGATGTACAGTGTAGGTTGAACTTTGAGACATCTATCTACGGGAGAAATCAGAAAACTCATTTTGATACGCCCGTTAAAACTTTTGATGGGACGTTTTGTGATATAGGGAGCTTCCGTTTGTTGTCCATCCACTACACTTTGGTTTCCTTAAGGTAGCATGCTTAGATATTAACCAATTGTCATGAAACCTGTGAAACTGTGTACATCATTCAAAGATTTAAACTAAGTTCAAAGTGGAGACAAATCTATGTATTATTAATTAACATATTGTGCTATGATTGGTCAACTTCGAAACTTAAGTTTTGCGAGATAACTTAAAGCTTAAAGAATAATTTTTGATATTGATGAAACTTCGTATGCATGTACAAAATACAAAGACCGAGGCTACCCGTGATGTTAGGCGAAATGCATGTATAATTAATTGGAATACTGTGCTCTGATTAGTCAACGGTTTCCACACAATAATTTTGTCAAATATGATAGGATTCTGATGAGACTTAGGACATGGACAAATAAGTGCAATCCTTTCAGTTGTAACCATAAACTGTTAAGGCAATATAATCTACCGCATCATTATCTTTAATTGCATTAATTCATATATTTATTTTGAAATTTAATTCCTCTGATAACCTAAATATATTGAAGAAATGTGTAGATCCACGGTTATTTGACACTTACATTATTTGCGAAACTTTGTTTTGCAAAAGAAGGACCACGAGAAAGAATATTTGCTAATAAGGGGAGACTTTTTTGTTCCCAAAACCAACCTTTAGTTTGTACGAAATAATTTTACATTTTTTGACACCGTCTATTTGGTGTTCAGGAATTTTTAAAAGATGTTCTGTTATAGTCAAATTGAAAGCAAAAGTTATTGTTATTAATGTTGTGTTTTTGTTTTGTTTTTTGTTACAAATATAACATGTTATTATTAATCCATTTATTGTATGATTAGGGCTATTGAATTGAGATAAAGAAACAATAAGAAAGTAAATCAGATTTGCTTGTAGGCTGCCTGTCTCTTAAGCTTGTAACAACCTTCTTACAATGTACCAGTTTTCGTTAGTGTTTGGGAATTGAAACATGTTGTTTGGTGTTTTGTCAGAGCTATGGATGACATGTCTGGGTTTGGATCTGTTTTTGACAACACTCTGAATGTTGAACAGATAATGAATGCAATGGACATTGCACATGTCTCGTCTCCGGACTCCATGTAAGTACATAGTATATATGTAATCATGCCATTACCATGTCTACCTCACACTAACCTTCTACAAATACCACCATACATCTCACCGAGCCACACTGCATCACTCCACACCACATATATCTATCTTACCATACTTAGCAAAGTGTACAGATCATTTTCCAGTCGATGTCTTTTGAAGGAATTAACAAAATTATGATGAACTGTCTTGGTCATTATGTGCTAATTATTTTATGACAAATCCGCGCATACATAGTATCACAGCTGATACAATATGATTTGCTAATGGGTTTGCCAGTGATATGTTTTGAAGGCGTTATCTGATTTGTAGTGCACTTTGTCTTGTATATGTCATACCAAAATCTCTGGTATAAGTGTGATTCTTTGCCAAATTTGGGCATATTTTAAGAGGTCACTAATCGAAGGAATTATCATATTAAGATTAAATTTACCAAATTCTCTCGACAACAGTCCTGACTATATTAAGAAATTACCGTTACACCTGTACAAATACTCTGAAAAATCCACACTGATGTAATGTATATGCTGATAGTTTGGAAAAGATATATTTTTAACATACTTTCGCAGAGTTTAATGGAACTTTCTGCTTAAGACCCTTGCTCAAGCATGATTCTTTGCAAAATTCAAACATAGTTATTTAAGTTACTGCAATCAGATTGACAGCTTCCTGATGATATATTTTGAAGGAAATGCCGACGGACAAACTTAAAACACAGCGTTTTAAGCGTTGCAGGTTAATGAGGACTTTGAGCAAGACTTACGGTTGCCGTCATGATCAGATCTCATTGGCCATCAATATGATAGCATCTTTGCTACATCAGGAATTTTCTCAGAAAGTTTATCAACATGATAAAAACGACGTTTTATTCTTTATGAGCCAACGGGCCAGATATCCTATGACTTGTCATGTTGCTGTAGTTCCAGACCATGCCTTCATAAGGCATTGCAGCCATTCTAAAATCATTTCAGGTTTCAGACTATATATAATAAAACACGCACATTAAGCATGTAAGTGGTCATACAAAGTCTTTAATTTTTGGGTTTAATGTTCAAGGTCATTTTACATATTGCATTCAAGATTATTTTTTTTTCACAGAATCTCACCTATTTTCCCTATGAGGACTGACAACCATGAGTCATTTAAGGATATTGATAAACTCAGGATGCATGCTTTTGATTCATGACGGCTTATCTATTGTATCTAGTTTGGTTTGATTATGTCAATGCCTCTCTACGCTTCATGTCTTTTGCATGGCTTTTTTTCTGTGAGGTGTCACTGGGACGTTTTGTATTACAGCTAATATAGATTTGTATTCATAATGTGCTCATTTTAATTAGCAAGTGAAACAAAACAGAAAACTGTCTACATAATGACGAATTAGGTGAAATAATATGTTTATTAAAACACAAAGAAGTTAAATCAGAAGTTCGACATTAATTTGAATTGACCCAGTTTTAAAACTATTATGAAAATGGTATTTTAAAATTCCTAACGAAATTCTCTTTTTTTCATTTCCAGACAAATCGATGCATTCGACGAGCTTATCAGTGAAGATGATGACATTTTATGATCACAGAGGATGATGCAACAGTTTAGAATATTGAGGACAATAACACGTATTCTTTGTAAACTGTATCCAGCATTCTTTGAGTTTACATTCCTGAAAAAAATGGTGAATTGGATCGTGACACAACTCGAAATGTGAATTATTGTCAGTGGTGGTCATTTGTATAGTGTTTTTTTATATATTTTTCGCCTACTCTAAAGAATGAATGAAAATTAAAATGTTCACCAAATGTATTATAAAAACATTCTTTCATCAACGCTGTTTGAGAATCCTAGCTGGACGATGTAGATTTGGATTGGGTCATGTGTGTAGTAGCGAGTGATCATGTGAAGGTCTCGCAGAATTACAGTTGAGGTGTACGAATAACCTGTCGTGATATATTGATCTATGGGACAACGATACAATCCCATTTTTTAAGCATATTGATGAAAATACATGTGGAAGTTTATCCATGGTAAATATGTGAATATGTATAACTACACGCAGTTGTAATGATTATTCATGATCATATACACTTGTACTGAATGATTTATAATACAATAGAACCGGATAAAACATATCACTTCCATTAATACAAATTAATTTGCTGCACAAGCCGAAATTCGCTTGTGTTTCATTGAAATACACTCCTACTGCATTTAATAAACCCAGACATAACAACAGGGCGTACTTAAGATCTGATTACAGCTGTAAGGATGCATATCATTAATCTACTCAAAACCTTTGGTCAATCCACGTGTTCTGTAACGGTAAAGGTTTCCAGCACTACGTGGCACCTCTTATGATGTTTCCTGTCCAGTAACGTATGTAGTCACCATCGATCTAAGACAAAGTGATCACTAAAATAATATCATTGTTCTAAAACAGATCATCAATAATGATGAGGGTAAAAATTGTAAACGTAGATTGAAAGCTCCCCGATAGAAAACCCTGGATAGCTAAGTATATCTGTCAATAGGACGCATCTATCCAAATGTCCTTATACCTAAAAGATGTTCATGAGAACGAATCAACCGTCTATTAATTAAGCTGAAACATTTTGATACCGTAGAAAGGACCGTTATTGAAGTAAATTATAGTATCCATGTAAGTATAGGTATCTTAACTATTGAAAATGTAGAATAAACCGTTTCGATCTGGAAATGAAAATTATCTCAATCAAACAACTTAATGAAAACATTGACATTTAAGGTCAACCAAATAAAATGTTGATTTTGATAACTTGTGTGATCAATATATTTTTAATAAACTGGGTACTTGGAAATAGATTTCCTGACAACAGGGGACAGGTTTTACAAGGATTAAGGAGTTTCCACCCTTCGTAATACACATGTTTTTCTTTTCGTATTTTCGTGTCGTCATTTCCGTATTGCGTATCGTGGTGTAAATTATAGTAACACCGGGTAAACAATAGTACACGTGCGTGACGATGATATGTCAACACCCGATATCGAGACTTAACTTGGAAATGTGTAATCACACGTACTTCAGAAATAAGGCTTATGATACAAAGACATTAATTAACTCACGGGCAAACACTGACATATGATCAGACGACTTCCAAGAAGGTCGTATATGAGGCGCATGGAATGCAGACTGATGTGTTTTGTTTACCGACCTCACCTGTACGTATCACGTGCTAACAGTAGTTCACAAGCTCTTGGTCGCTACGACTTTTGTTGTCGAGCGAGTTACGCTCTGTCAGATAAATCGGTTCACAAATGCAATTACAATAACTCTGTTAAAAAGTGGTTTGTAAAATATCAAGATCCCTATAAAATGCAAGTGCATGTGCGTGCACGTAATAACGGCATACCATGCGATAGCCTATGGTTACATATGTACCTGACATGTTAATATACCATGCGTAAGCAGGCTATGGAATGATGTCCAAAGTGTACATGATTGAGAGTAATTTTGTTCCATAAAAGAACAGTAAATTGACAATTAAATCTAGTAATTTAAATTACTTCCGTCGTTTTTTGGTATAGTAAAGAAAATAAGTGTCATTGTATAAATTCTATCCCTCTGCAAAAAGTTCCGGTTTTTTTCAAGGTAGACAACTCTCATCAGGATCAAAATTATTGTAAAATGTAAAATAAATTAATTATAAAGACTTTGTGTGCATTTGGTTCAATTTTTCAGTCTTTTTGTATGAAACTATGTGTCCTGTTTGCTTTTAGCTTGTATTTAGTAACTGTTATCCAAACAATTTCAATAAAAAACGCTTTTTGTAACATGTTGTAGATATTTTATGATAAATAAAATATTTGTAGGGTTGTTTCTTTTCATTATTTTATTGTTGTTATAGTTTTGAACAATGCCACACGCTCAAAAAATGTAAAAGTGTTGAATTTGACAAAAATTCAATATTTCGGTATTTTTTACAAAAAAAATCCCCAGTTTATCGGAATGCTTAGATTTTCATAAAATCATCTCTACATAGTGACATAACCATTATGTGAAACTTTCATTGAACCCTGCTGGCTAATTGCGAAAGGGTGGAGCCTCCTTAAGTCATACTATGACGAAATTGAAAAGGTTGATGATTGTGTGCTTAAACAGACGTGTGTCAAAAACCTAAACTGTTCAATGGTTTTAAAAGATATTTATGAGAATAGATGCATTTTAGCATATACGTTTATTTATGTGTGAGAAATATATTTTGAGAATGACACTACAATTAATTATGCTACAGTGTGAATTAATGTACTTTGAAGATAGTCAACAAAGTACCTTATCTTAATTGTTATTTCATATGATGTCTATTTTTCTATTCAAACAATTTTTAATATATATATTTTTAAAGCCAAAATGTACTTCGGTGATTTTATAGCAATGTGTTGACTTTACTGTTGATTGAATTGAATGGGAAGAAAATAAAATTATTATTCTATTACGTTTGATGTTTTATGATGTACAACATAATAAATATGTATCAAATAAAAATATATTAAAATATTCTAATATGATTTAATCTTGTTTGTGACAAGCATTTTCATTGGCTTAAAAATTTATGTTATCAGCCCATAACGTAAAAAATGACGTCGCCGTTTATAACGTCGCTTTTGAATGGCTGATACAGCAGCGCAATAATTTCTAAGAGAAAAGAGTCCATCAATAAAATTGGATTCCCACAGGGATTGTGTATAGTAGATTAAATTATAAGGATTAACTTGAATATATTTTTCATGTTATGGAGCTTATAACACAAAAAACCGGAGTGTACTCTCATCATAAACCGCTTCGCGGTTTATTTAGTGTACTCTCCGGGTTTTTGGTGTTATACCTCCATTTTCGCACTCATTTTCATTCTTCAACCAACATTTAATACAAATTTTGTAATGGGTTTTTTAAAGAGAGAGAGAGAGAGAGAAAGAAAGAGAGAGAGGGTGGGGGTGGGGAGGGAAGGAGCAAAAGAGCTTTTACAGAAATTGAGGAGGGGGGGAGAGGGCTGAGAAGACAACAAGGGGTCCAAGTGGTAAAGATGTTGAGTCCATGTGTGTCCATTTATTAGTACATAATCTTAATTATAGAGATGAGAGAATTACAGTAATATATNCTTATCAGTTGCATAGTAAGTACTTTTATAGTTATGCATGCCAAAAATGAAAGTTTCCTTATTAAAAGTAAATGGAATAAATAATGCGTCTAATAAAAATTCAAAGTTCTGAAAGAATGACTGTACTTTTTCACACTCCCATAGCATATGAACTATTGTTTCTATTTCTGTTTTACAAAAAATGCATATTCAAAAAAATATATTCAAGTTAATCCTTAAATAATGAACTTGTTTTCGTTGAAATAAATTTCTGAATTAGGGTATACACAATATATTGAAAAATGACATAGCCAAAAAAGAACTATGAAACCTATTGTTTTGTAGAAGTACGTACGCATCATGTGTAGCACCTGTCACGATGTTTCCTGTATAATTCAGTAAATGATATCGGACACGGTGAAGATTACTTCAACCATGGAAAGCGTTTCTATACTTTAGTTGGAAACTAGGTCTCATGATGATGATAATAAACCTTTGTTGAGTTTGGATTCAAGCCGCCCTGAGTGAGACCTAAGGTACGTAATAATAGAATCCATCCCTGATGTGAGGTATGGATAAGGTTATTCAAACCCAGGGGATAAAATATTAAGTAGGAGACCCGAGGCTTTGCCGAGGGTCTTTTGCTCAATATTTTATCCCGAGGGTTTGAATAACCTTATCCTTACCTCACCTCAGGGATGGATTCTATTTCTTGCTTATTACCCAAAACCCCGTAAAAACAGCTGTTCTTCTAGTTAAGTTGTAAACTGTCCGCACATTTCTCATTTGCCTATGAAGCCTGGATGGCAATTGTTAGTGATGTCAATGACCCTGACTGACCCCAAAACATCATAAAATGACGTCACGAACAATAGCGTGACCCCGAAAGGTCACTATAATTTCCCCACCAGTCTGCGCGTGTAAGCGATCTAGACCAGTGGGTCGGATGGAATTTTCCAGCACCGCCGGAAATGCGGATATCTCGGTCTAGTATGCAAGAAATACATTGGTCCCCTGTATATATGATTTAAAGAGTCAGCTCATTACAACACAGAAAACAGATTGACTAGAACAGGTCCACAGTTAGCCCTCAATATCAGTTTTGACTACATGTATGTGATGTTTAAAATCTCATTTCTGTTGGCAATATGGTACTTACGTGAGCTAGTCATAGATCGAAAGGGACTGAAATACTTAATCATTGGTTTCAGTTATGTACAAAGAATCGTGGTATACATAAAGGAGAATTTAAACGCTTCAACAGGATTTAAGTTTTGAGATTGAAAATTGTACAGGATTATCTCTATTTTTATTTCACTTGATGTTAGAAGTCCATATTGCGATGTGGTACATTGTAAATTAAGTGCTTGGAAAGTTTGCCTTATAGTAAGTACGTATGTTTACAGATACCTGTGCTTTAAAGGACTGCTTAAAATACGCCAATGTTATTGATGCACACGTTTTTGTTTAGTTTAATGCTTCTTAAAAGACATATAAGAGGAACAGGTTTTGTTTTGTTGAAGTCACATGTCGAAAGTAATGCTTCCATTTCGTCTTCTGCAGTGGCGTATTTAGGGCTAATTTATAAATAAATTACAGAGTATGTAAAAATTACTGAATTGCACGCACTGATCAATAAAACGTATTATTACGTACCAATTACTAGTTCTAGCGTACAGGCCACGATTGCTAAAAGATTGGTTAGAGTAAATCAGTGGTTAGGGAAATCTTAAATATGAATACAACAAACTCAAGAACATCTTACATCATTTAATGCTACAAGACTGGTTGCGACTTGTAATATTGATGTGGTTTGAGGATTAAATTTGTAAAACGCCCTTGCTACTTATTGGCAGCAAGTGATGTTTTTTTCAGTAACCACTGGTTAAGGTTGAGCAACATTCGAACAACTGGTGCCACATTACTAATATGCACTTGCCTAATTTATTCTTACGTAAAAATTACTCATTTATACATACGGATGACTAAATAGCAACTAAGTGTTAATTATGTTTAGGTATGAATTAGTAATTTAAATTTCCCGCGGTTCGTAGAATAGCGGGAATTATTTGTCCTGTAGGTACGTGGCAATCGTATAGGCTGGGAAGCACGTGCGGTTTATAGCCGACCAATGAGATTGTTTTGAAAGCCTAAGGCGTGAAGGGGTTAGTTTGTTAGGCATTCTAGCTTTTGGTCAGCTCAGGAACGGATTGTTTAAATTCAGCATAATTCATTGTAATATAAGGGAAATAATAGCTTGTATAGGGGTTTCTCCTGAATGTATGAAGATCGTGTTTATACTTAATGTTTATAAATCCCAGCAAGGTAAACCTGAACATTTGGTTGGTACACCTCCTGTATCCCTAAAATTGGTTTTCAAGTTGGGTGGCAGGCTTTGTTTATGTAGATAAACATGGTTCGAGAAGGGGAGATTGTCGAGTGTGGGCTACGCGTATGATATATATATATATGTTCATAAAACAACGATTTGAATTAAACGCCGACTCAGTCGTTCCTAAAGGCGGAGCAGCTAGTTGGATATAAGCAGTTTGTTGTTTATTATACGGAGTAATAAGTATATAGAGGACTTCGTAATGGGAGATTACAACAAACATAATGTACGACCGACTACATCAACACCAGGTTATAAATACCTTCAAAACGTGGACACGTTTGCCTAGTTTCAACATTTTTATTAGATAGCAAACATTACATATACAATGATTCTATAACTTCTTAAAGAAATAATAGTATGGTAAAAGGTGTTTATTATTTTTACTGATGCTTGTTATTTTCACAGTAAACAAACAATAACATAAATATTAAAGCGTCACTACACAAAGACAAAATCGGAACGGTAGGACAAGATAAAGGTAGCAATCAGGAGCAATTTATGATGTAAAAAACCTGTCAAATCTATCTAGGTTCGACGTCATTTAATGATAAAGCAATTGAAAAAAACACTTCCAGGAATGCAGACAATGCAATTGCTAAGCTAGATACTGTTTATGGATGAAATATTGACGCCATGAAGAAATAAGGTTTTCTGTGATACCAGCAAAGCCTTTGACAGAGTTTAATTCCCATCTAAAAGATAGCCCTACGTGTATAGGTGGTTCCCATTGGTGAAGACTTTGATAATTTTTCTTCCAATGTCCTCTTTATACGTTCCAAAGACATTTTTTACCTCAACTCACTCTCTGCTCTAGGTGACAGTATTCCGCTTAATCCTCAAACTTTTCTCTATGGTTTTCAACCAAGAGACTATGCTATGAATATAGATATTGTGGAGCTGGTTCAGAGGTACATTGGAGACACGCTACTTTTCTATTAGATTCTTCTGATTTTCAATTGTATGTTTAATTGTTGCATGAGTTGGTCTGTTGGTCACCGGTCTTGACGAATCAAACACGGAAAATTGGTTTCCTTTGGCCTACAGTCCGTGTTAGACGATCAGACTGATATTATGACATTCCTCTTTTAAATATAACAGTAATTTAGAGATATATATTTTCCAAACTGCATCATACAATATAAATGTCAAATGTTAAAACAAAATGTTGTTACATATATATACTATAAATATGATGGGTATGTGCTGTTAAATATTGTATGGAAAGGGATTTGTATGCCTGTTGCCCAGTTCCGATTGTTCGTAAGATATGCATAATAAAACATACTGAAATTAAGGAAATAGGTATTAGTTGAACGAACCCAAGTGAAAGAATGTGTTATTAAAGAGATTTTCATTTAACAGTGGGAACAAGGGGTAACTACAGTGAGAGTATATGGAGTTGTTACAACGTAGAGTTGAGATCAGATATGGCTGCAGTGAGAGTATATAGAAATGTTATAACTTACAGTTGAGACCAGACAAAGCTACAATGAGAGTATACAGAGATGAAATAATTCAGAGTTGAGACCACACATAACTACAGTGAGAGTATACAGAGATATCTTATAACGGAGAATTGAGACCAGAAATAACTTCAGTGGGAGTGTATAAAAATGTAATAACGTAGAGTTGAGACCAGATATAGCTGCAGTGAAAGTACATATATAAATGTTATGACGTAGAGTTGATACCAGATATGGCTGCAGTAAGAGAATATATAAATGTTATAACTCTTTACCAAAGTTGTGTGATTTTTTTAAGAAACAAATGAAATTCAAATGGAAAAAGGTATGGCTTTTATAATTATGTGATCGATGCCAGTAGGGGTTTCAACGTTGTTCAACATACTACCATCATAATATTGTCTCAGACATCGACATTGTTTCTGTAGACAGTGTCACTGTTTCTGTTGACATCGTCATTTTCTCTGTTGACATCGTCATTGTCACTGCAATTATCGTCACTGTTTGTGAAGATATCGAGATTGTTTCTGTAAACTTCCTCATGGTTCCTGTAAACATCGTCATTGTTTCTGTAAACGTCGTCATTGTTTCTGTAGACATCGTCATTATTACTGTAGACATCGTCATTGTTTCTGTAAAAGTCGTCATTGTTTCTGTAGACATCGTCATTATTACTGTAGACATCGTCATTGTTTCTGTAGACATCGTCTTTGTTACTGTGGACAGCGTCATTGTTTCTGTTGACATCGTCATTGTTTCTGTAGACATCGTCATTATCACTGTAGACATCGTCATTGTTTGTGGAGATATCGAGATTGTTTCTGTAAAATTTGCCATTGTTATTGCAGACATCGTCATTGTTTCTGAAAACTTCATAATTGTTACTGTTGACATCGTCATTGTTACTGTAGACATCGTCATTGTAACTTTAGACATCGTCACTGTGTGTGTAGATATCGAGATTGTTTCTGTAAACTTTGCCATTGTTTCTGTAGACATCGTCATTGTTTCTGAAAACTTCGTCATTGTTACTGTTGACATCGTCATTGTTACTGTAGACATCGTCATTGTAACTTTAGACATCGTCACTGTTTGTGTAGATATCGAGATTGTTTCTGTAAACTTTGCCATTGTTTCTGTAGACATCGTCATTGTTTCTGAAAACTTCGTCATTGTTACCTATTGACATAGTCATTGTTACTGTAGACTTCGCCATTGTTACTGTAGACATCGTCATTGTAACTTTAGACATCGTCACTGTTTCTGTAGATATCGTCATTGTTTCTCTAAACATCGTCATATTTTCTGTAGACATCATCATTGTTTCTATAAACTCCGTCATTATTATTGTAGACATCGCCATGTGCTTCTTCGGACACGCCGTTACTTATGTAGACTACTTCAGTGAATATCTTCAGAATCAGGTGTGTTTTCCCTCGAGGATAGGTTAACATCATCTAGGAAGAACCCTTCCTTCCGTATCAACCAATATGTTCTCACGGTACCTCTAAAGGAGGACATCAGCACCGGGTCGGTCTACAAGATAATTGTATAGCAATCATTTCATACAATTCGTAACACTGTTAATCCTATTCTATACAGTTAAGTTTTGAATTAAGATTTTTTTCGTTGCTAAATTTAGAACATAGACAACTTTTTACAAAACTGAGAATAAATAACAGAGACAACACTATTCTATGCAACCCTGTCTTTGTAAGATTTTGTTACACACTTATGCTTGCATATCTTACTTGTTTTCGAAAGAATTTTGTTTTCATAATACACCATTAAGCGACATGTAAGATATATATTATTATCTATGAACCAAAAGTGTTGTGCTATATGGGTCTGTTTCTTTAAAAAATCGTTTGACCCGAGGAAGGTTGCTTACAACATACTTAAGAAACATTGTAATGCTAATAAATATTTTTTGTATATTTGCAGTTCGATTGTTACACTATCTTGTTTGGATGAAAAAGCCACCAAAACTAATTGAATTGACATCTGTTTGCGTGTTTACTGTCTGTTTAAACATATCGCAATGTTTATTTTGTCACTTTCTTTCTAGCAAGACCATGTAAATGTTTGCTGATCTGTGTAAAACTAGAATATATACGGCGTAGATACATCAACACATTTACTTACAACACAGCTGTACGTTAGTACGTTTAGAGTAAATTACATAGTAAAGCTATATCTATGTACGGAAGGTAAATGTTAAACATTTCTGCCAGATTATACTGTGAATATTAATTTTACCTGTAGCACAGAAATTTGAAAAAAACCGTGACATTTAAACGTTTACATATTTCATTTCACTGTAAAACAAAACCACACATATTTGACAGACTTATACCAGGCAAGGTACTCATTTAAGCATTGAACTGTTTTTGTATGGTATTTATGATCTATTTGAATGACACAGCTTTGCAAGAAAACAACATAATGCGCGCTAGCGAATAGATCATAAATACCATACAAAAACAGTTCAATACTTATATATTTACGTTTTCTCTGCCTCTTATGTTCTATTTTAACTTATAATTTATATTTAAAATCAAAAATGCCCGCCTTATCGACAGTCCACACAATTTCGTTCAATAGTTTGAACAGCGTATTGTCGCGTGCTGATTGGCAAACAAAGTAGTACTTTGAAATTTTAATAAACACTTCAATTGTATTCCACAATTCAGTATCGATACAATTGCGTATGATATGTCTATAGGGTGATTTAAGTTAGCTGATAGCAAGATTTGAAATATTTTCGATTTTTCCCCGGAACAAATTTCGCGCATGGACAAATACAGTGAACACCGTAAATCCGACCTTGCTCTCCACAAGGGAGTTATTTTTGGAAGTTAACGAACCCCTGTTGATCAGTGCAGTGTAACAGACGATATTTCTGTTAAAATTGCATGAGCGTTAAAATTGTTTCCATTGCCGGCATTGGAGATTTCAACCGATGTGCATTTTGTACGATATTGCAGACCTTGGTCTTGTTTTCGTTGTAATAAAAGTGTTTTTTATTTTATTTTTTATTTTGCACATAAATTTATAATGACATTGTCAAATCTCATAATGGCCAGCGATATTTCAGCAGCCGTCATGTTTATTTTATATTGGATATTGTTGTTCCGGTCAGTGTTGTATTAATACGCTAAGAATTGTGTCTCGTGATGCATGGTAATTAAAGTCCCATCAACGACACAGCTTTCAAAGAGGCTATATAGCGGCAATGCCATGCAAATGTAAATATAAAGGTTTAAGTAGTTTTGCTAATGTGAAAAGTGTCACATAGCGGGTAGTGTGTAGAGTGGGGGCCTGAAAAATCATACGGGAATAGCATCCCATTGTTGTTTTACCTTGGCCAAGTCGTCAGTCCGTAGCTCCATCACGTAACCTCCAAGTTCGTTAAGAATGTCAAATGTTGTCTCACTTATATGGATCATGCTCGCTAAAAACAAAACAAAAACATATCGCCATAAACCCATATAGTTTGTTCACATACATTTGTACATATAACAATAACTAAATTTTAAAACAGCAGCTTAGCTTCTGTCAATGTCTGAGTATTTATCATCAGTATATATGTGCAAGTTTGACGGATCCTGAGGCTGGGTGTTCCATATTTCCTCCACCACCAAAGCAAAGATTCTACAAGTTGCTCCTCGTTGACAATATCATGTGGAACCTAATGTCGCTACAGAGCTGTAACATTTAATGCTGATATCGCGACAAAACGGTTTCGTTTACGTTTCGGTATTATCTTATTTTCCTTTAATATACTTATATGTGATATATAAAATATGAGTTGTATTTTACACCGTGCAATATTACTAATATTTGGGAAGAGAACACATGACTTACGTCGTCCGAGAGACTCCATTTTAGCAGCCACATTGACGCTTTCCCCAAACAGGCAATATCTCGGCATCTTTGTTCCCACCACGCCAGCGACCACGGAACCTGAGGGAAATCCAAGTCATAGAGGGATCATTTTAGGGACGGACGGTTAGACTATGTAACCCTTTAACACGTCTTGCCAAAGTGGACGCATCAATAAATAGAAATTACTTTACGCTATTATAGATTATTTTCTTCTGGGAAGTTTACTTATATATCGGAATAAATAGATAAAATCCATGATGTTTGTTTTACATCAATTGTGTTACACTGACGAATATTGTAAACCAAACGTAATGAGTACTCCACAGGTAAAACTATTCTTTTACACAATCGAAACGTAGGAAGTGGTCGAAAAAAACAACAACATTAAAACGAATTAAGATATGTTTGTGTAAAAGTAATTTATTACTTCCAATACATAGTTTGGGCCTTTTTTGGCCTCGAAATCCATCGAAATTAAAAATCAATAGAACTTTCAAATTATTGTTTCTTTAATTTTGAACATTTATTTGAGTTCCAATAAAGGCTGCCATGGTAGCCAGTTAAAATTTGCATAATTATTCAGTCAATTTTGACAGATTTACGCCTAGTTTGTTCAGGCATGTGCTATATAGTTTCAAGGAGAAAACCTATAAAAAATATGAAAATATTCACTGAATATTTGAACTTGTTACCATGACAACAATAACTAGAAATGTAAACATTTTTTTTATTGAAAGCGTTTGAGAAGAACTGAAAATTAAAGAAACAGTCGTTTGAAAGTTGATTTAAAGGTTTTTAAATTCAAATGTATTTTTTGGCCATAACCCTCCCAAAACATACATAGTCTTTTCCTTTGATTTTACAACATTGTAATACATACAATGATACCAGGTTGATAGCATAGTTGTTTGTGTTTACCACACTCCTCGTGATTTTACCAGTCATCCATCCGCCCCTATGTCCCCTTAAGTAATCGGTCAAATTTGAATGGTTGCAAACTTTTCTGTGTAAATATGATCATTTTACATCCAAGAATGTCGGCTTTTTGCCCAAACGTCGATCGTGACAATCTATCGAATAAGGATGACAATCATCCTGAGATGGTTTAAACATAAAAGTGCTCGTATGTCATTTTCCCAGAAAAGTTAAAAATATCGAATTCACAAGGTGTAACGAACCATAGAGTAACTGGATACTGACAACTATAAACAGAAATAACGTGTTACACGTACCTGAGTGACATCCAATCCGGAGCTGGAGCGTTTTACCCGGAATGTGCGGGATTTTCATGCTGCAAATATGTACTAATAGATCAAGGGCCATTGTGGCGATCTCTCCAGCATGCTTCTGCCCATTCGATTTAGGAACTCCTGGAATGTACATATATATATACTGTTTTGAAAATAATAGCAAAGATACACATTTATGTTTTTATGCCTTGTAATACGCTAAAGATTTATTTTAAAAAAGACGTATTTTCGAAATCGCATTACTTGCAAAGGGCGAAGGTGCTTGCATGTTTGTTTTGTCTAACGAAATGACGAGATAAGTGAAACCATCGATATACATTATGTAGCTACGTTAAATTCTCAAACGAGGTTTGTAGACTATTTTGTCAATGAAACGGCATATGATTCTCCAGTAAGGCAGTCGGTGGATGTGTTGTCGTCTGATTCAGTCACTTGGAAGTCTGAGTGGTGCATCCATGTAATTTTCTAGGGCATATTGGGAGAAGCGAAACATGACCGAGGAATCTCGTGCGCGAAAGTTCTAAAAAATATTTCCCCTTCATACGAACAGTAAAATACAATCAGACGCGATGTTATATAGGCAAGGTGTGATAAAATAGCTTTTGGTAGTTGAAGTTTTTTTTTACCTATGACACAATGAGAATGGCGTTTTGACTTCTGATGAAAATACTTGTATCCGACTGGAAATTAATTGTATGGTGAACCGTTGTTGTAGGTTCAACGTTAATCTTATTTGGTCGCAAACAAATCTCGCTATTTCTTATACAGACACTAGCGTTACCATTGATTCTGATCTTCGCCTAAAAAACATTTCTAAGAAACCAATCTTAAACATACTAATATATGAGGATCACAATGAAGGAAGCAGGAAAACACTTCTAACCGAAAAAAAAACCGAATTATAGAAAATGACATGGATCAATCACAGGGGTTCGTTACAAATGTCTGAAATACACATATGCTATACTGATATTGGTCACAGCACACATAAACAGTGTACGCTTATGTGTGCTGTGGCCCATATTAGTGAAGTAAGTATATGTGTTTCAGACATTTAGAACGAACCTTTATGGATCATTCGTATTTAATGTCAGATAAAGACTTGACACAACCCCTCGAAATAAAGTGATATGCCTACCCGATACTACCATGTAAGCATCCCCAATTGTTTCCACTTTGTATACATCATGTTCCTCAATGCGCTTGTCGAAGCAGGAGAAAAGCTTGTTAAGCATGTTGACAACTTGCAGTGGAGAGCTATTGGACGAGATCTGTGTGAACCCCACGATGTCGCCAAAGAAAAGAGTGGCGTTTTGGAACGTCTCTGCGCAAACCTCCTCATTACGCTTGAGTCGCTCAGCGACCGACTTTGGTAGCATCTGGTACAGAAGCGTATCCGTGCATGTCTTTTCTTGCTTCAATGCACGTGTTCTATAATGTTATATGTTATATATGTTACACATAGTCAATGTTAGCTATTATAATACTACTTATACATTTGTACATGTGTATGTTCCAGTTTAAATCTTACAGGATTACATCAGCAAATTGTTGAAATTACAAACATTGTAGTATTAACTGGAGAGTATACATTACAAGGAGTAGACAATATTCTAGCTTATATATCTGTAACGAAAGTAAACATAGGATTTTTGATAGAACATGAAGCTGTTTGCTTGCGACAACGCATAAAGCAATGCTTTAATAGGAATCCCTGCCACGAACATTCTTGAATGAATGGACAAATGATAGGCATATCGATGCTTGCTTCAATTCTGTCATTGATATGTCAACATATCCTAGGTAACTTTAACGGCAAGTGTCAGGTTCGAAAACAATATGACTGCTTAATTAACCCAATGAAAACTTACCTTGTGGCGATCGATATTGAGTATTTTTGGATTTGTGACGTAAGTGAATATACACCAAATACGACTAAAGGGCATATCAACAGAAAAGCCCCAAACATGAGCGCGAAGACGGTGATATTGCGGACACTCTGTGCTGAATTTGTCTCCAAAATGACATCGATTTCGGAAGCAATAGCCGTTTGTACTTCTCTAATGACGTCCTGATAAAACGTCATGTTTCCAAACCAACTGTCAGCGTACTCCAGCGATCCATAACCCACGGAAGTTTCATTGGAACGAATCTCGAAACGCATGTTCTTGATATTTTCGAATATAACTGGGTGGTCTTTCACACTTTGATCGTAGATATTAAAGGCGATTTCTGAGAGTTGTCTGGCGAACCGAAAAGTGACATTTGCGATGTCCTGACTTTCAAGAAACATAAGGTATTCCTGTCGATTACGGAAATAGCCGAGTGCGTAAAATGTTACTCCATACCCTCGCTCCCGTCCGATGTTTTCGCTGGTCACGATGATCTCCTGATAAGCTACCAGGCTTTTCCAAATCGATTCAGAACTCGCCACTGATATTGCCTCATACAGCCACTTGATGAAAACATCGATGCCGTCTGAATAGAACGCTATTTCGCCCGCAGTTGTGAGCTCTTTGATGTCTAGTTCATATCGGTGCTTGGCCAGATAGGCAGAGAAAACCTCCAAGGTTTGAAATTCGGGTCGTGGATTGCTTGCACTTACTGGCCAAGAGGACAAATTATTTAGTGCGCTGTCGGTATCAATGTAGCGGTTAAGCAGACGACCTTTAGTTTCTGGACCGATGCTGCTGGCATAAAGAGTACTCATGTCCCGTTCCCGCTGAAAATAGCGGAGAAACGTTCCAAGCTCGCGTCCAAGGTACAGATCTTGGCGGATTGCAATCAACTTGGTATAAGTTTGCAAAGTCCCGTCAAAGAAATTAGCCGTTATGCTAAGAAGAGCAAATATTGGAACCATCACAATTGTCAGCATCTTAAACATTTGCTTTCGCTTTCCAATATTAGTTATTGGATTTCCTGGCGGAAGAAGAAAAAAACGTTCCTTTTAATCCGTGTTTTTTTTCAAACACATGACAACAATTCAAAAAGAATATTATCATACAGACTTAAAGAAATTGATTTTGAACATTTATGGGTTTGTTTTTGTTATACATATTACACGAACAATGTGGCAAAAAAACCCAGAAAGTTACATTATAAAACAAATTGCAGTTATAACGCAGAAATTGAGAATAGCTCAAACAGTGGTAGGGTTTATAGTAAGCGTCACTGACCTCTGCACACAGTCTGACACCGGCTGCCATCTCCCTGCAAAATCAACATGTCAATGATACTCTCACTCAATTGCGAGTTGCTCAGGGCAGCCATCTTTGATAACTTGGACTGCTGGCTGCCCGTTGGGTTGGCGTTGCTCTTCTTGATAAAACCCATGATCTAAAACAAAAAGGAAAAATCTATCTGTAATATTGGCATTTCGAAAAAAGCCCCGTGATTTAAAACAAAAAAGGTGCAGAAAGTCCTCGGATCTATGAAAATGACACATTTTGTTTATATTTGCCCTTTGAGAAAACCCCAATCAACTTTATAAAAAGATGTCACAAATGTACAAGGGTCTAAACAAGGTTTAACAGATAGGTCTGCCCTTCGGGAAGCATGTTTTCCCAGTACGATATGCATATAACTAAAGCAATAAAGCAACACGTTCAAAATGTAGCTCTATGCATTTCCTACTAGAAAGCAGTGCGTGGTGTGATAGTAATGTATAGCGGTAGATATAGCTGATAACTCATAAAAGAATTAAAGTAATCTATAAACTTTCTATTGGTATGGTTTATTAAGGTTAATACCGATAAGATAGATACTTCATTTTTAGAATTTAAGAGATCTGCAAAGCAATTTCACTTGAAATGAAATGAATTATGATTTCCTCCCTTATTCTGTATTTTATACATGTATATTTTATAAAGCTGGAAATATTGTACATTTTATCATACATTGTATCTTGACAATATGTAAGATGAGCTTCATGCTCAATATGTTATCAAGAATAAATAAAGCCTTTATTATTATTATTATTATGCTGGTTAAATGACATTTGCAATTTCAGTAAAACAAAAACAGTGCGGATATCGAGACACTATTCTTTGGTAATTGGTAGCAATAATGACCCAGATGTAGATATGCTTTAAGTTTATATATCACTCATAGATCCGTTCGTTTTCACGGGACAGATAAAACTAGCGACATGAAGTACACTCATAATACAATAACCAAATAAACCATTCTGGTGATTTTTTTGTCTGTGCAATATGGTAGATGCCGCTTTAAGAAATCGTTTGAATAAATAATGCAAATCTTAAAAATCTTACCAAGTTGACCAACATAAAGTAATACAGGTGTTCTAGCCCCTCCGAAATAATGATGCGTGAGAGTTCTTCGACTAGGCAGCTCTCTATTCGCTACAACATTTATTTCAACCAGTCAGCTATTTCAATAACTCATTAAGTGCGGAAAGTGTGGTAACGTCTTCCCTTCACTTATTCCATGTCCTGCTTCCTGGTATACCATTAACTTAATGAGCGTTCAAGTTCACCAGCGGAATAAAGAAGGAGTAGGGTGCAGCATATTTTAAAGTAGCTAAAATATCCACTTTATCGTACCAGACAAAGGGAAGTCCGCAATTGATTCATTTGGTTAAATCTTTCCTAATTATTGTACAGAATATCAGCAACAATCAACTATATATAAATGAAGTCTTTAAAAAAAGAATAAAAAGGGTTGAATGCTTTCAAACAATCATAATGCAATCAGTGATCCGCTCAGGGGCGATGGAAATGCAACTTATTTTTTTCCAGAAGTTTTAAAGCGGCATTTCTTTGTGAACAGATACGTTTACGAAATCCCTCTGAGCCAAAATTTGATTGGGATTCCCGACAATGGGCTTTGAAAACATGTATGTGCGTTAATTGCGACAAAGCAATAATCATTGATATGAAAATAATTGGATAATATTACGTAGTTTTTTTTTACCTTTATGCCGAATTATTTCAGTACTGTATAATGTACGTACTACAAGGCACGCTACAGTTATTCATAAATTGATTGTATTTGTCTATATGTGCTAATCAGACGGCATTCAACCAGAGGATCAACGTTTCAAACGAGTAAAACAATTTAAGGTAAAATAAAAAGGCTATCCTACCCGAGTTGTTGAGGTCTGGCTATCTGTTCCACTTGATGCTTTCCAACAGACTGACGCTAATTAAGCGAGTACTCTGCATCACCTGGCCTTCTCATATTGGTTACGTCAAAATTGCGAACAGTTAATATGTTATTTAGTATCATCGGCTACTTAAAGCGATTACTGTTGATAATAAGGCTCATTATTTGCCCATTGAAAAGATCACATAGTTATTATGACGCATGTGACTGTGCAATTAGGGGACCGCGGCGGTAATATTCTCTTACTAATTAGTGAAAATCCGGGTACCAGTGCCGATTGTGGGCTAACAGGCGATGATTGCTGCTAAAGATACTAATAACTTGGCATGTCGTCGAGGAAGATGTATTTACCATTGCTATTGGATTAACTGTGGCTAGATATGTAATCTGCTTTGTTTCATAAACTCGTTTAAGCTTATTACGGCCAGCTGTAGAATCCCAATAATGTTGGATGTCAGTTTTCATCGGTCAACAACCAAGAGGTAAATGTTTAAATGAAACCTTCTTATCAAATATTAGATAAAAAAGAAAATGGATCTCTATTGAATATTACACATAGATTTGCTGTTATATTAGGTATTTTTATTGATATGATTTTTTGTTGTAATGAACTTAAAACAACGATGAACAGTACACTTTATCTAAGAAGTTATCAACGAATGTGCGTGTAGTATGGTGGACGCTACCACGTCTTCGATGTAACGACACTTTCTATTGGTTAATAACCAATCTTATTGGATTATAGACCATGCACGTTCTTGCATTTGGTAACTGACCAACACTCTTCCAAATTCTCCTCCACAAATGTAAACAAGCGAGCTCTGGGACGGGTTTGTTTTGTCCAATGAGGGTACATGCATTAAATTTTGTATGAAATAGTATTTGTAAATCTGTCAAATGCTGATTGCATGTGTTGACAAGAGATGCAGATAGATTTAAAATAAATATCATCATAAATTAAAGCTTTGCGTCAGTGTCAATTTTTTTCGACGAATGTTTGCACGCACTAGGGAAAAGTTTAATTTAAATGATTAGAATATTTAGGTCACTTTCTTTATTAGAGGTGTGTTGACAGAGATAGACGATAAAATCACATTTACATTTTATTAAACAGAGTAGATATAATCAACATAATATATGTTTGTCTATTATGGTGGAAAATATAACTCTGAATTCGAAAACGTTGTAAAAATAATCAACTCAGGCAGCAAGTAACCTTCGTTTAGTACTGTTCGAACATTTTCTCACTCTCATTATACATTCCACATTAAAAACCAACGCAGATATGTTGATTCTTTTCTTAAAGGATAAATACATGTTGTCCAAATAATTATAGACCCATAGAAAATTCCAACATTTGACCGGTTCTAGCGGATTAATTTAATCGGTGATTTTGACTTTCATGTTAAAAGCTTTAACATGAAAGTCAAAATCACCGATTACATTTAATAAGACTGAAAGTATGTTTTTAAGCTTTATACCTAATTCACCTTTAACATTCAATATTTAAGCAATAAACTGCATAGATGTGGCAAACCAACTGGTATAACTGCCATGTGTCACAGACAAACTGAATGGTCGATCGGAGGTGCAAAGACCAACTTTAGTTATAGTCTCATAAGATGAAGCTGCTAATGGCAGTACTTTAGTAGTAATATAGAAGGGCATTGCCACACCAAATGTAAATATATATGTATTAAGATAACGGAAATTCATGCCAGTGTGATCCGCACATTCTTACGGCCGGTAAAATAATGCTTATTGTAAACAAGGACATCAACTGGAATGTAAATCCAGACTAATATTTCTAAGTAAAGCGTTATCATCAAGTCCTTAAGAGGTTAAACGAGAGAAACGAGAGAAAAAGGTTTCGTTGAGGATTCAAAAATGTTGAAAAGAAATCAACTAAGCAAGCGACCTTCGTTAGTATTTTACCAACATGTTCTCACCCTTGATATACATTTTAAATAATTTTATATAATCAACCTATATGTGTATTTAATATATTTTCATTATTGCCCTGTCATTACATGTGAGTTATTTTTCTGACAGTGTACTCTACCTATTCTTTTGTCGTTACATTTTACTTATTGTTATGTTATTATATTCAAATTATTATTCTTTCATTATGTTTGTCATAACGGTCTGTCATTGTATTTTAATTAATAGTTTGTAATTATGTTCTTATCATTAATTTGTCAGTATATTTTAATCATTGTTCAGTCATTACATTTTAGTTATCATTCTGTCACTATATTGCGATATTGATTTCACTGGTGGTATCTATGAGAAGTTTAGAACTTATATACGAGCAAAACTACAGTAACATTCCAAGGTTTAAGAATAGGGTAATATAATTGAAATTGAGGTTTTTGAAGTAAAACCAATTTTCATGATGTAATTCTTACCATAACTTTAGTATGCATATACAATACCTCCACCCATCTTTGTAGCCCAAAAACAAAAGATTAAAATACCCCTACCTCCCTACCGTGACGTAAACCATATCTCGACGACAGAGCAACAGAGTGATCTCCCTTCCTCAAACCCTTTTTATGGAGCCTAAAGGCAGGAGGAATACAGAATGGGACTCTATAAAATTATGGTAAGTATTACAACATGAAAATTGGTTTTACTTCAAAAGCCTCAATTTCATTTTAGAAATAATTACCATAACTTTAGTATGCGAATTCGTCTTACCGTAGTGGAGGCTTCGAATCCAGGCAGACCAGGCTGACGGAACAAACTCGAGACATGCTCAAGGTAGGGAAAAGGTTCAAGGAACCCCCCTAATAAAGCCCCGAAAGTAATTAAAAAATGGAAAACCTCCCCGTGAAACGAGCAGGTGTACCACCGTGGTGCCTGATAGCATACTATTTAAAATCACTGAATTACTGTGGAGGAACAGCCACAGACTGTGCAACCACCACCGGTCCAAGGGAATACAATCCATCAGAATGAGAGGCCAAGGACCGGAGATAAAAATCCGTGAAGGTAGTCTGTCCGCGCCAGAAAGCTGCGGACATGACCTCCTGAAAGGGGGACCCATTGAGGAGGGCCCATGACGCAGCAAGGGCCCTGATCTCATGNGATATCCTGCTGACCCTGCTTAATGGGCAAAAACAGACAATAACAAGAATTGTTTCAGGACGGACGACGGAATCTTTATAGGATCGGCCG